AAAAAAAAAAAAAAAAAAAAAAAAAGAGAAGTTCATAATATAATTTGGAAGTAAATGTATTTTCTCTCTCTTCTATGTATGACTTGCTCGGATACCTTGGAGTGCTGGATAGTAGCCACTATCATCTGAAATAGGCTCTAGATCGGTCCTAGCATGGCTAAAGTTAGCGGCGGCCATAATGGCTGAAAGATTCAGTTGATTGACTCTAGCGGGGCCTTCAAGGTTGGCATTGAGCTGCGATCTTGAGTGAAGCGCAACGCCGAATCTTCAATTGTTCCCTGATACATGGCCCTGATGCAATATAATCACTAGACATTAATGTGACATGACCATAGTATTCTCTTCTTGCATGATACTCTCAAAAGGGTTTAGTTATACTGGTAGGTCATAACACTGGTGCCTCACTCAGAGTATTTATACAATAAGTGCCTATAGTATCTATTTCCAATTCCATATATCAGCGTCCCATTGCCACTTTGCACAAAAGTTTATACCAAAACATATCATTGAATGCTATTTTCTTTTAGAGATTCAATGTCGAGTTAACAACACCAAAAGCCCAATGTGAAAGCTGCACGAAAGTCCAGGCGTGAAAGTGTTTTTTAATTTCTCCAACCACTCCGCTACCTCAGTCCACCCCACCATAGATCTAGTAGTAGCTCTCTCACGCTCATCCTGCTTGCACATCATCTCTGCCAACTCACCCTCTCAGCCGCCCAGACACGAAGCTGCCCGTCAGCTTCCGCCATTGCCAAGCAATCATGACAAACCACATCACCTCTCTCGACGAACCCTTCCCCAGCCCCGACTCTCTCGCCGCCGCCACAACCACCCACACGCAGAACCGCTTCCGCATCTCGACCCGCAAGCTCCCCATCTCCAAATCCGCCGCCATCGATGCCCTCGAGAAGAAGCTCGGCATCCCCGTGCCGGAGATGATCTTTGGCGACAACCTCGTCGCCATCACCCACGGCCCCTCCAACTGGACGCTCGAGTTCAACACCACGGATGCGCTCGACGCCGTCGACAAGACCGACAAGAACATGCTCCGCGTGGCCTATGCGCGCGACTGGGAGAGCACGCGCGAGGGCACCACGCAGAGCATCAAGGAGGTGGTCAAGCCGTACGACTGGAGCTACTCGACGACGTACTGCGGCACGGTCCGGGGAGGCTCCGAGTCGAGCTTCCAGCCGACGGAGAAGCATATCCCCATTGAGCTGCTGAAGCGGCGCGATCCGATGCTCTTTTTCGACGAGGTGGTCCTGTATGAAAGCGAGCTGGATGACAACGGCATTTCTTTGTATAGCGCCAAGTTGAGGGTTCACGAGAAGCGCATGCTGTTGCTGGTCCGGCTGTTTATGCGACTGGATAATGTTCTGGTGCGACTGAGAGACACGAGAGTCTATGTGGACTTTGAGACGGACGAGGTACTGCGTGAATACACAGCCAAGGAATCCAAGTTTGATGACGTCAAGAATGTAAGCGAAGCATCAAAAGATAAGGATTTTTCTTTTGTTTTACCTTTTTCCACATCTTGGAGACACTTGGCTAATGCGTACATGTCAAATCACAGGCTCTGCGGAGAACAGGAAGGCTACCCGATGATGTCACAATCGCATTGCGAGATCCTACTGCCTTGGATCCCTTGCTGGAAGTTGTCGAGCATCGGGTAGAGGCTGTGTCACTAGCAGCAGTAACGCAATAATTAATAAAATAGAGGAGAGGAAAGAGAATCACCATGAAAATCTTGGGTGTTTAGAAGGGCATGTGAGCAACATCGCAATGCAATCATGAAACGGCGTTTTTTTGGGGTATTGGTAATAAAACTTAGGAATCTTTTGTTACAACTTTTTATTTTCAAGAATAAGCCAGAGCATTTTATAAAGCTCTCTAAAAATTGCCCCCCAGGGAAAAAAAAAAGGAGACAAGGGATGAAACAACATGATACAGAGCCATGGATATCAACAATGAAAATACAAATCCAACCAACCTATTCAGTCCAGCGCCTCTCTTTTTCAGATTCATTCATTAGACCCTTATAACGTTTGAAAGCAACCCAAAACATAGAGAAACACAACCGGGCTCCAATCGACGTAAAAATCGACGTAAAACAAAAAAAGATATCCAGGCCGTATTGTGAAAATTTACGAGCAAGACATCATCTCCCGTCTTGTGGTGAAGACGGCTCGGCCACTTCCTCAAAATCTAGTTCCCACCTGTCTACCTCTTTGAACTTTTTGCTCGCCTCTTTCAGTTCTGCTGCGTCTGCAAGAGCAGCGTCCGCCTCCTTTGCGGCACTATCAAATGTATTGTCTGCCAGAGGAATAAATCGGCTCGCTTCTTCCTCTCCTTCCTCATCCTCGTCCTCATCATTATCGCTGCCTCTGCTCCTGTCTCCTGCATTTTCCTTATCTGATGAATGTCGGCGTGATGCAGACCTGCCTGATGCGCCAACTTGTTTCGATGAACCGCCCGTCCTACCGCCTCGGGAGGCTGAACGGGAACCAGCGGCTCTGGTAGGTGGCCGGCCCCTTTTTCGCCTGCGGGCAGTTTCAGTGTCCAAATAAGACAGTTCATCATCTCCATTGCCCAATCCCGATGTATCGAGCTCTTCGTCACTTTCCAAGCCGAGGGGGTCGCGCTGCTTCTTGTATCGCCGCTTAGGGAGCAGGCTTGTAAGATCAGCCGTAGTCATCTTAGGCGAAGCTTGCTGGCTTCGTGGTGGCCGACCACGTGTCTTGCCTGTCTTGGCTGCATCGTAGTTTGGCGAATGTGTTAATGAAGGAGGTGAAGATATGTCTGATAGATTGTCGAGGCGTGTGGGAGTGGTGACGGAAGGTCTGCGGCGCTTCTTTGCTAGCGATCGAATATCTGGCCACACATCAGATGCTTCTGATCCACTACTCGCGGGCGGAGCTGCGATTTCCGCCTGGTTGACTGGTGTAACTGGGCGCGGCGGGAGTCTAGACGGAGGCCCCCGAGGCGAAGATACATCCGATATTTCTGACTCGCTTGTCTCATCTATCTGATCCTCCTCAGGGAATGGAGGAGCATCTGGCAGTTCCGATGAATGCCTCTCTCGAAGCTGTCTAGATGAACCGGGCTCCGTACGCGACACTTTCTCTGGGCGTGTGCTATCTTGCTGCGCATCCAAACTCTTCCGTTTTCTTGGGTTTGAGGATTCGGCCTCTTCTGGCGACTCTGGTTCTGCAATTTCATCGTTTCCACGTGTTCGGCGTCGATTTTTCAACGGGGTGGATTCCGCCTCAGGCTCAAAGTCATCTTCGCTGTTGACCTCAGAATCCTGGCCGGCTGGCGAAGGCCCTTCAAGAGGCTCCCGGCTAGTTCCCAAAATGCTTGGCTCCCGTGCACGCCGCTTGAAAAGGCCGATGTTGAATGAGGAACCGACTCTAGGGGTGTTCCCACTCCGGCTGCTTGGTCGAATTGGGGGATCGTTTCTTCCTATAAAACTAGACCGGCGTGACTGAGTCCGGAGAGCGCTATATGACATATTTGAAATATCTCCCGAGCGCGCTGAGCCAGGGCCATCCGCAAAGCTGTCATCCAAATCGCCAAAAACACTGTCGCCCAGATCCAATCCGCTTGTATCCCGTTGATTGTAATTCGGTGTAGACGCTGTAAATCGGCCAAGCTCTATTGAGCTTCTGGAGCTGGCACGCATTGCTTCTCCTTCGCTTGTTGCGGTCGCATCTTCGTCAGCGGGCCTGTTGAGCGCTTCGTCGCGAGTACGATTTGCCGTCACAATAGAGTCTTCGTCGTTAATGTTTAGCTGCGCGACAGATCGTATTTTCCTGGGGCGGCCTCTAGGACGGCCTCTAGTCTCTGGTTTGGTTTCAAGGGCGCCACTGGAGCTGTTGCCCGGCTCTGCACTGGATGACACCACGGCAGCAGCCTTGCCCGCACGGGGTCCGGGAGGACGTCCTCTCTTTGGCCGCGGCATCGCAACTGGTAGTGAAATGTAGACGAGGATCAGTGAATAATGCTGAAGCGGGTGGAAGAATAAATATGCACGCTTCTCGTGAATGCAACTCAAGGTACAAAAAATCCGGGGTCGCAGTTATTGCAGCAGTGCCATGGTGTGGGTTGGGCAACAAAATGATCGTGAGGGTTAACTTAGCTTGCAATGTTGACGCGTTCCGACGCGGGTGGAAGTGGAGGAATCGCGAGGCTGCCATTTTTAGGCGGGGCCACTTAAAAAATAGAGCACATTTACGGTGGCACCTTAGATAGGGTGTGCAAGAGTGCAAAAACCCCAATTTTCTAAAAAAACAAGAAAATTAAAAACTAAAAGATACAGTGTGTGCACAGTATATGTACTGTATTTCCCTAGTTACAGCGCCTTATAAGGCCTCTACAAGGCTGAAATATGCCTTAATTTTTAGGCAGTATGACTACTTATAAGCTGGATGACCTTGATTGAACAAGATGACCTTGATCGAATAAGATGACCTTGATCGAATAAGATGACCTTGATCGAATAAGATGACCTTGATCGAATAAGATGACCTTGATTGAACAAGATGACCTTGATCGAATAGGATGACCTTGATCGAATAGGATGAC